GGGGGGGTACCCCCACCCTTTTTTATCAGATTCAAAGTCAAAGGAGTTTTGGCTATTGAAAAAGGATATGAGTTCAGAATTCAAATGCGTTCAAACGGATGTGGGAATTGCTCCAGTACATCCCCCGACGTAGCTCACCTCCGCAGGAGCCAAGCCTGTTGATAGGATAATCGGCATCTAGATGACGAGCTGGCAGTTTTCAAGCTAAAGTACGTATTATATGTTGCTCTGGACAAAACATCATGTTGATACTAAACGTAACCAGAACCGTGAATTTCGTGTAGTGTATGAAGCGGCCAGGACGAACAGGGTGATGTTATTCCTAAATGAGAAGCGATAGATATTCCGAAACACAATAAAAATGAAGTGACTTTTTTTAGTCCTGATGTGATTTTCTGACTGAGAAGGAACCCGCTAAAAAAAAATCCTTACATGAACGGTACTAAAACATGGGTAATTTGGGCAGTGTGGAAGCAATTCGGAGAAATAAACGCACTCATTACATGTATTCTGTCTTACGCTACATTCACGTGAGGATGGAGACAGTGGACACAAATATCTAATGCGGAGACACAGTGCCGGCGTTGTTCGTGTTCTGGATTGAGTTGAAGTTGATGTTCGACTGGGACTGGGGAGTACCACTGGTGAACTTTTGGTTATCCCCCTCGCCTCCAATTTCACCCTGGGTGAACTGGGACGTGTCCATCGTCCCGGCGTTCGTCATACCCCACGTGTTAGTCTCGCCTTGGTTGGTGTTGGTTTCACCGTTTTGGTTGTTCATGTTGGTCCCACCGCCTTGGTTGTTCATGTTGGTTTCCCCACCTTGGTTGTACGTGTTGGTCTCGCCTCCCTGGTTGTACATGTTGGTCTCGCCACCTTGATTGTACGTGTTCGTCTCGCCACCTTGATTGTGTGTATTGGCCTCGCCACCTTGGTTCCAGGTGTTGCCGCCCGAGCCTTGCATGGTGTTGCCTCCTTGGTTCCAAGTGTTGGTGGAACCTCCGGTGTTCTCCTCTTCTGCCATTTCCAGAGACCCGCACTCCGAGTCATCGGCTTCCTCTACCTCCGCGACCTCGACAGCCGCCTGTCGCAATGTACGCTTGCTCTGGTAACTTTCAGCGTTGACAGCAACAGCGATCAGTAGCACCGCGACAGCAGACAAGACCAAGTTCTTCTTGAAGGAGACCATCCCGGCGATGCTTAAACTTGATGAGTTGGTTTCTGAAGCGAAGTAAATTGAAAAATAAGCCGATGTTTAATGCGTCGGGAGCTAAGTGTGCACCGAACAGCAAAAGAGTGGCCCACGAGGTAGGGCTCGCACTTTCCAAACGTCACATGAAGAACATGATCGCTTCAAAGTATGAGTTGCAAATCTGCGCGACTGTGTCTGGCCGCTCCTCTGCGTTACTGTAGCACATGGCTCAAATGACAGGTATTCGCTAGTAGCCATTATGTTCGTTTTTGTACGAAACCCCGACTTAAGCATGTGCAGTTTACTTCAATGATGTATAAAATGTTGTCGGCGTAGGCCTGCAACGACGAGATTCTCGTTCGTATATAATAGTGCTCGGTCTCGGACCTGGATTCGCTTTCCTAAATACAATATACTGCCTGGCTGTGGCATTTTTTCGTTGAGATTTCAAGAGCGTTCAGAGCAGCTAGTTGAAAATGAGCTGGATTCAGTAGTATACAGTGTGTGCACTAGCACCGTGTGTTATGAATTACATTTGTGATCCATAGAGGCATTCAACGTTACAAAAGGCCAAGAGAATTTCTTTACATATACCACTACTTCTACCAATGTCATGTAGGATACATGTAGGAAATGTAGCAGCGTCGCAGCGAAACAACGTTGAAGTGGCCCCTTACACTTGGTTCACGTCATGAAACGATTCAATGATAACCTTTAAGATAAGCGCGTAAAATTTATGTTCATATCCTTAGCACTGCAGTGTAGTGGTATACCAACGCATTAGTTGGCATTAGTTGGCATGCACGACCGCTTGATCTCTTACAAGTTGAACAGCGTACATGCAGCATTCGTCAGTGGGGGGGGGGGGGGCTACTTCTGCACCAGCTCTATTTACAAATAATAATATAAATTGCTTTCAATGTTCTCCTTATCTACAAAAATGAAAGCTAAGTTACAATGCCTAAAACACAGTCTCACGCTAGACGACAAAAGTTCGCATCTATAAGGAGCCGGATAGACATTCAACATCCCAAAAGGAGTGAATGCAACCACAACCTTACTACATACTAGTATCTCGTGAGTGCAAGTCATTCCAGAGTTATAAGTGTACTGTAGAGGGATCACCGCACCGAAATAATGTTGAAGAACTTCGTGTCACGAACTTTGACAATGATAACTTTTGCGATCTGCCTTCAAGGCGTTTATACTCAAAACCCTTGGTGTCGTTAGCACTGTAGAAGACATACCACAACTCTCACAAGCACACTACAGTCTCAGCCGAAATGCTACCCCATTGAGCTCACACAACTCTTTCTTCTCGTCAAACGCAACTCCAATTCATCAGCACGAGAGAAACACTCTCCGAATAAATACGTCTCGAAGCATGGCCCCACTTCTCTCGGTCCAACTCTCAAGCACTATTGACGATAATGGATGAATGGACAGTTAATGTCCGGTACATTATTAAGAAGACATGCCTTTGAGTCTTCTGCGTTCGGTGTTGAGATACGGCGGCTTACAACCTACCAACACTCAAGACCTTATCCTGACTACACGTGCTACACCTGCTCTCAAGTCCATACCAAGAGAAAAAGACGCACAAGACTATAGCTCAAGATACTGGTACACCGACGCACATTCAACGTTTATCGCGCTCTGCGGCGCTTGGTCTTTCGTCACGTTTTACGCTACACTCACGTAAGAAAATGGAGGGCCATCCCAGAGCTCTACTGCGGCGACACCGTACCGGGGTTGACATCGCCCTGGAACGTGCTGAAGTCGATGTCCGACTTGGATCCAGTGTACTCCTTGTTGTCGTCAGAGTTGCCCGAGGTTTGCTGCTGCGTGTTACCGCCATCCTGGTTGCCACTGTCTTTGTTCTCGTCGTCCTTCTTACTGCCGTCCTTGTTCTCCTCGTCCTTCTTGCTGTCCTCCTTGTTTTGGTCGTCCTTCTTGCTGCCGTCCTTGTTGTCACCTCCGTTATCGCCGCCGTCATTGTTGCCTGAGCCCGTGCTAGGAGCCTGCGTCCAGGTGTTACCGCCGGTGCTAGGGGGCTGAGTCCAAGTGTTACCGCCGGTGCTAGGAGGCTGCGTCCAAGTGTCACCGCCGGTGTTGCCGGAACCGGTGCTGGGGGTGCTGCCGCCAGTGCTGGGAGGCTGAGTCCACGTGTTACCACCAGAGCTACCTGAGCTGGTACTGGGGGTATCACCGCCAGTGCTAGGAGGCTGCGTCCACGTGTTGCCTCCAGTGTCGCCTCCCTTGTCACCGCCAGTGTCACCACCGTTGTTGCCGCCCTTGTCGCCACCAGTATCGCCGCCAGTGTCGCCGCCGTTGTTGCCATTGTTAGGCTCGGCCATTTCAAGCGAACCGCACTCCGAGTCATCCTCTGCCATCTCCAGGGAGCCGCACTCCGAGTCGTCTTCAGCCATCTCCAACGACCCACACTCCGAGTCAGCCTCGCCGCCGATTTCAGCCTCGCCGCCAATCTCGCCTTGCTGCACACTGTCTCCTGTGTTATCTCCGCCCGACTCCTTGTTATCGCCACCGGACTCCTTATTGTCTCCACCGGACTCCTTATTGTCGCCGCCGGATTCCTTGTTATCGCCA